GACTATTACATAGATGTTGGACAATTGATTAGAAAACAGAGAGAAAGAGAATTGGAATGGAGGTATACAGGAGGATTCTAAGAAGATGAGTAAGAATACCCTAAATCTCTAATTCTCACTTAGGACCCCCTTGCTAACTGGGTAGCCCCTCCCCCATTGTCAAATGAAACTGATATTTTCTTGCTTGCAAAGGCAGTAAAATCCCCCTGCCTGAGGGAATTTCCTTCCAAAAGTAAACTTATTCCCCATTGGCTTGACCCTTCCATACATATAATCTGCTCTAATGGCTCAGGTAACAGCATGCTCTGTAGGGTTAATTACAAACCACCAAAAGAATTGCAAGGCTTTTGTTATTTATATGGACAAACATATAGAGAATAAGTATGATAATGAAGATTATTATTATTATTGTGTTACTTGTGTCCTTCTACCTGTTCTCCATTACAAACCCTAAAAGGACCCAGAAGACATTTCCTACTCCAAGACCTTGAAAATATATTAGGTAGTAAAGCATCCATACATCTGAAAAATGCTTTATAGGTCAGGAATGCAGATAGGATACACTGAAATCAGGTTGCCCATTTCAATTTAATGAAGGATGTAAGAAATCAAGCAGTGGCATTCAACCACTAATGCATGGGAAAGTAGGCATAATTACATAAATAGCAAGGCCAGAACAGTAAGTAAAATAGTCTGAATATATGAATCTTTTGCAGTAGCTAATTGGTCATGGAGTCTTTAGGATTATAATAAATAGGTGGTCTACGAATCCCTTACAACAAAAAAACTGAAGCAAAAGCAATACCACTTCCCTAAAAGGAAACAGAAAAACATTGCCACCACGAAAAACTGGATGATGATTACTTATCTTATTCCCATTTAACTCTTCAGTAAGTATGGGTCTTGAAGAATAAATTCTTTGTCAGAGTAGATAGGTCTGCAAACTCAACGGTAAACATGAAAAACACAATACAGCTCACGATTACGTCTAGTGACTAACTTGCGAAACTATTATTTCATATTCCTAGGTTTAGAGGCTTTAGAACCCGAGAAGCATGTCTGCACCACTGCTACAACAATTATTCCAACTGGAAGTTGAGACTTCCAAGTAATGAATTTAAGTTCTACAAATTACTAGGAAAAATCACCCCCTACCCCTAATCCCCACTTGAAAAACAGCTTGTCAGCTAAGATAAGTAATCTTGACTGTCAAGAAGAAATACAGGAAGGGTAATATATGGGTGTGGATGGAACCCAGAGTAACCTTGGTGGTATCTCCTGGTATTACCAGGCCTAGTGGTAAAAAGTAATCTTAAACTACTAAAACCAAATACAGGTAAAACTACCAAGAGTTTAGATTCTACCAGAAAAGATTGAGATCCACCCCTCTCCCCTAACAAACAGGTACAGAATAGTGTCCAACTAAGTTATCTGCAGGTAAAACTAGTTGCAAGCAAAGAGAAAAAGGCAAATAATGGTAGAGGGAAGTCATAAATACCAGTTATAGCCTCAGGATCAGTGTAGAAAAATGAGAGCACCAATCCATATTTATATTTTGTTCTTTCCTGTTTCATGTAATTATTTATGAACTTTAACTTTCCTTTTCTTTCTTCTCTATTTTTCCCATTATTCTGTAAAAGGTATATACTAGGGTAGTTAAGTTTACAACTGAATCAATAGATTTAAAGATACAGAATAAAGGAGAAATGAATACCACCCAAAGATCCAAGACTAGGAACTAGATGCAGCAATTCATAAGACTTAGGTTATGCCATTTCAGGAGAGAGAAATGTATTTTCATTTGTGCAATGAATGCATTAGGGCAGGTAAGAATAATTTTTAAAAGTGTAACTATAGGGAAAATGTATGCATAGATATTGAAGAGTCCTAGGATAAGACAATAATACATACTATTTTTTTTTCTGAACTTTTCCTATTTGAGGGAAGTCCCAGGATCAGAGGAAACAAGATTTTACACCACCTGCAGATAACCCATCCCTCTATATCTTGAGATGGGGTGTGAGTACATGTCCTAAACATAGCCAGTTGGTCCCATGCAAATTTTTGATTCTTGAGGAATGAAGTAAATAAAGGTGAGTGAGAAATCCCATTGGAATATGAGCTCCATGAAAGTAGGAACTTTATTCCCTTCTATTAACTGCATCTACAACACTGCTAGTCATAAGGTAAGTACTTAGTAAATATTTTTTAAATGGAGGGGAAAAAAAGGACAGTGAGAAATTATTTTCAGTACTCATGAGGGAATAAAAAGTCCAGTGATGCAGCTGCAAGTGTCCAGTGGCAAAATCCAGCATGTGGTGTCTAGAGATGACAGTGCTAGCAGCAATATATGAAGCACAACAAGAGTTAAAACTATGTCTATCCTTGACTCCCCTGGTTCCTGTCTAAAGCTGGTTCTCCAACCTACCTAACAATTCTTTACATTTTCCAATATTCTTTCAATAAACTCCTCTCCTGACTAAAGTAATTAAAGCTGGTTTCTATGGCTCACATTCAAGAACACCAACTAGTACAGAAGAATAAATGCTCTTAGAATAATTATACCATCAGGGACAGAAAACAATTCACTGTATAGTTAGGCACCACATGAGGACACTTTAGTCAACAATGGACCACATATACGACAGTGGCCCCATAAGATGATAATGCAGTTGAAAAATTCCTATCACTAGTGACATCTTAGCGTCATAATGCAACATATAACTCAAGCGTTTGAGTGATGCTGGTATAAACAAACTTGCTACCCTGCTGTATAGCACATAAAATTATGTTCAGTATATAATACTTGATAATGATAATCAATGACTATGTTACTGGCTTACGGATTTATTATACTATATATCATTATTTTAGAGCATATTCCTACTTATAAAAAAATAAATTAACTGTAAAACAGCCTCAGGCAGGTCTTTCAGGAGGTATTCCAGAGGAAGGCACTGCTATCATAGGAGATAAAGACTCTATATGTGTCACTGCCCCGATGACCTTCTAGTGAGGACAGATGTGAAGGCGGAAGATAGTGATATTGATCCTGACCATCAGGATTAGCATAGTGTTTTGTCTGTGTTTGTAGCTTCATTTTCAATTTTAAAAAAACTTTAAAGAGTAGAAAAATAAAATAAATGTTTTAAAATAAAGCTTATAGAAGATATAAACAAAGAAAATGATTTTCTATAGCTGTACAATGTGTTTGCATTTTAAGCTAAGTGTTATTTCAAGAGTCAAAAAGTTCTAAAAAATTAGCTTATAAAGTAAAAAAGTTAAGCTAAGGTTGATTTACTATTAAAGAAAGAAAAAATGTATAAATGTAATATAGTCTAAGTGTTTATAAAGTCTATAGTAGTGTACAGTAATGTCCTAAGCCTCCACATTCACTCACCACTCACTCACTGACTCTTCCTCTGCAAACTCTAGTCCTGCAAGATTCATTCATGGTAAGTGCCCGCGACAGGTGTACCAGTTTTTATCTTTGATACCATATCTTTACTGTAACTTTTCTATGTTTAGATGTATCTAGATATACAAACATTTACCACTGTGTTACAATATCCCTTAAAGTCACATGCTGTACAGGTTTATAGCCTAGGAGTAATAGGCTGTACCATATAACCTACAACACGTCCCTGTCATTAAGCAGTACAGGACTATATGTACATACATACGTATGTGTGTACATGTATATATATGTATATGTGTCTGTCTATATACAAAAAACCTTTTGTAACAGACTGGAAGTTAAATAAACTGTGATGAGAGATTTATGCCCAAAGCCATAATATTTATTTATTAATCTAACAAATCCATTAATATGTTAGATTAAACCAAATGAAACCAAGATACCAGAGCATTTTTTACCTAAAAAAAATTTCATCTGGTTTAACCCAGTATACCTAGGTTATGTTAAAGGATAAACTAGAATCTATTTTCCCCTACCTAGTTGTTCTTGGTTTTAAAAAGTTATCTTAAAAATTTTACTTTATTTATCTAATTTTTTAAATGCTTAGGCTTTAAAACATTACTAATAATACCAAAGTCTTGTTATATGGCACTGACTGAGCCTTACAGAATGCTAACCCCCTTAAAATCTATAAACAATAGAGAACTTTGGGGGAAAAAAGAGAGACACATTCAATCAGATTTAATTAGAATCGCAGAATGAATTAAAGTCACAGGCATTTTGTAACCAAAGGAACAACTAATGTGACTCACATTCAGGCTGTTTGTCTAAAATTCCTCCAGTCAAATGGGTATTCATATTATCCTTAAAGTCATTAAGGAAGAAAAGCATATGACTTTTCCAGCAACTGATTCTAGTTACCAACACCCAGAAACCTGTTTTGGGGGGGTATCTTTTTTGTCTTGTATGTTTGCCTTTACTATACCTGCTACATTTCCTTTTACATTTACAGAATTAAAGTTAGTTCCTCACCAAATAATATTTATTAACTCTTCATAGACTTAAAGCTAATTACTAATTTAGCCCTTAGCATTTCTCTTGATATTCACCATCATAATTCCTTTAATATTTTCTCAAGAGTCTGTCTTCCAGTCCTTTTCTCATATTCTGTGAGCTTACTGCACATATGCCAAATCTTCCTAACTGGAGAACTTACTATATCCTAAAAGCAGATCCAACATAAATGAACAGACTAATTTTAAGGGTGGGTAAAAATGTACCCCAAAGAAGAAGATCAAAAAGGAATAAATGATATGGAGTATGCAGCATGAACTACTGGAATTAGTCAAATACTTACCCAGTTATTCTTAATACATGTGCAAAACTAAAAGAAATACGCTGTGGAAAACGCGGTAAAATAGTTTGTTCTTGTGTTTCTTCCTTTTTTTTTTTTTTTTTAACATATTAACAAAGTTCTCTAAGAGGGTCCAATAACAAATGACTGAATTTTGCTGTACCACAGGAGTTCTTAACTGGCATCACCACCCTCTAAAGTGTTTTGCCAACGAGGAATTTTTTTTACCTGAATGGCACTTCTTCCTGTGGAACATCCACATAGTAACGAATAAAAAATCTCTCAGAATCTTCTCGTTCACCATCGGTAACAACGCTACCATTAAGTTTGGAAACTGATGGTAATCTATAAGTTAAAGCCAAAATAAAGACATTTTAAGATACTAACATATTTAGCTTTACAAAGAAAAATAATTGGCTTGTGGCCCAGTCTTATTTTCTTGAAAGGACACGTTTGATGTAGTTCCGTTTGTATACAATTACTGACCTGAACTAAAGTGGTCTAAACTGAAAGGACAAAATAAATTGAGTTTCACTTTCATGTGACACGGAACTTTCATAATCATACTTCCCCTTTCAAAATATAATATAATAAAGCCACATATGTAATTTAAAATTCTTTAATGGCCACATTTAAAAAAAAATAAAAATTAAACAGATGAAATTAATTTTAATAACATATTTCAATTAACCCAATGTATCCAGAGTATATAATCATTTCAACATGTAATCAATATTCTTAAATGAACTAATTTACATTTTTAGTTATATAAAATATTTGAAATCCAGTATTTCTTTTACCCTTATAGCACATTTCAATTCAGACAAGACATATTTCAAGTACTCATAGCCACACATAGCTAATGGCTACCATAGTAAACAGCACAGTCTAGAAAGTAGTCAGTAAAAGTGGGTTATATAATTCAAGAATTAACTTGTCATATTTGCAAAAGAATTGTGTAAAGAAAATAAACCACAAGACCTACTGCAAGACATATTCTTCAAAGAAAAGTATGCTCAAATTTATTTCTTCAGAAAGATATTAATGTGTATGTTAACAACTACGAACAGTAAGGATCTGCTAGGCATCAGCTTGTCTCAAAGATCAAGACCCTGTTGAAAGAACCACTCTTCTTTAAAGGACCTTAAAGCCTCCTGTTCCCCTTTCTAAACTACTATGTATAGTATACAAAGAGAAAAAAGCAAAGCTCTATGGCCCTTGCATTTTAGCCCAAATCTTACTTCTGCTAAAGATTCATACAAAAATAAATACTCACGGGAAATTCCCGAGTGTGTGGAGGCAGAGGCTGAGACACAAAAGGCAAGGGGAGTCAGGCGGAAGATAAAAATAATGGTGGTCATATTTAAGTCAATCTATATTCAAGAAGAAAATGCAGATGCTGCTCTCTTAGGTTTTACGCTAATGAAATAGCCTAAGTTTCAGGAATTTACAATCTAACTGATCAATATGTTAACAGAGAAAATAAGGACAACCACAATAGAAATGATTCCCTACTATACATACTTTTCCTTTGTGACCCAAAACATGACTTCAAACATTCTAAGCACAGATTTGTAGGGAAATGTGTCAGTGCTGTCAGCAGCAAATTACATTTAATGTTTTCCTCATCATATTGCTCACATTCCTTTTCATCCAGGATTCAGAGCTACAGAAGCAGCTCCTTCAAGCACAGTCTGCTCAAAGGATGAATAAACTCATAGTGTACTCCTTCTACACAGTGCATTATTCCCTTAATGAAACAATAAGACTCCACAAAAATAAAGCAAAACAATCAGGACAACAGACCTGGCTATTACCAATTTCCTTCGCTCCTCAGTGGTGTATGGCTGCAGAAGTGGAATTCCTAACAATCTCACTTCTTCCAGTTTGGGAAATGAATTTAGTTTATCAATGTCTTCCCAGGACTGCAAACCTAATTTGAGAAATATATTGTTTAAGTAAATCCAGAGATGCACACACATAAGAAGAGAAACACAGAAAAAATATTTCAATTAATAACTTCCAAAATGTTAAAATGATCATAAACTAAGCCGTCTGAAAGTTTTCTTTATCCAAGGCAAGAACAGAACATAGTTAAAACCACAGAAACTTCCCCATAGCCTCTCCTACCTGTGATCACAGGGGTTAACAAAGAAGAGCGTTATTGTCTAACATCCTCTCATCTACTCATTTTCTACCAAAATGACTGATAAAGAGGGGTCACTGGTAGTTTCATCAATAAGCAGGATGTATGCCATAATTATATAACTTAAAGAAAGCTATGTGACCAACTCATTTCACTCAAATATAGACTCATGAAAAAAAACTACAGATCAGAGTTGATACTGACATACTCAAATTTTTACCTGAAAAATTCTAAAGTGAGGCAAGGTCAACAGAACCAGAAACTAAATATAGTTGTCCCTCGTATCCATGGGGGACTGGTTCCAGGACCTCCTACAGATACCAAAATCCACAGATACCCAAGTCCTTTATATAAAGTAGTATAGTATTTGCATATAACTTACACATATCCTCCTGTTTACTTTATCTCTAGGTTACTTTTAATAGCCACTACAATGTAAATAATTGTGATACTGTATTATATAAGGAATAATGACAAGAAAAAAAGTCTGTACATGTTCAGACACAACTACCCTTCTTCCCCAAGTATTTTTGATCTGCAGTTGGGTGACTGCATAGATGAAGAGTCCACGAATATGGAGGGGTCACTTTAGATCAGGAGAGACAGATCCAAAGTTTAAAACAAACAAACAAAAAGAAAAAACCTAAACCTTTGAGTAAGGAGAGTATGTAGCAAATTAGGATTTTTAGTCCTAAAATGAAACTCTCCCTGTGGCTGTGAGAAAATGTATTCTCCAAGACAATGCTTGACTTCTAAGTCAGGTAGGTCTTCTAAGTAGGAAAAATTTTCCTATGATAATGAAGCTGGTCGATTTTACAATGCATCAAATCTATTTCAGAGAACAACACAGTCCCATCCTATTTTTATCAACCTTCAGCAAGGGTAAAGACAGAGGAGCAATTTATGAGGACTCTGGTGAATAACGACCCCCAAGTCACAACCATCCTCTACCCTTAGAATGGCATTTCCATCAAGGAGGAAGAATAGTTAGCTTAAGGGGTGACAAGTTGTGAAATAAACAGCTTCCTTGTGCAAAACACTGGATTTTTCAACTTACTTCGCACTCTTAAAACTTCTATGGTAAATTAAACTAGCTTCATGTTTTTTCAGTCGTAGGTTAGAGTTATTTTTAGTTATGTAGGCATTTTAAGAAATACGCTAAAAGACAATATCAAGAGAATGAGAAGAAAAGTCACAGACTGGGAAAATGTATTTGCAAAGGACTTGTCTCATAAAGAACTGTTATTCAAAATATACAAAGAACTCTTAAAACTTAACAATAAGGAATAAAAAAACAACCTGGCTACAAAATGGGCCACAGACCTGAACAGACACCTCACCCAAGAAGATACAACGACAGCAAACAAAGCATATAAAAAGATGTTCAATATCATACGACATTAGAGAATTGTAGATTAAAACAAGATGCCACAATATACCTATTAGAATAGTCAAAATCCAAAACACTGAGAACACCAAACTCTGGTAAGGGTGTGGAGCAAGAGAAACTCTCGAACTGCTGGTGGGAATGCAAAATGATACAAATGATACAGCCACTTTAGAAGACAGTTTGGCTCATAATCTTACCGTATGATCCAGGAGTCATGCTCCTTGGTATTTACCTAAACAAACTGAAAACTTACGTCCACACAAAAACTTGCCCACAGATGTTTACAGCAGCTTTATTCGTAACTGCCCAAACTTGGAAGCCACCAAGATGTCCTTCAGTAAGTAGGTGAGTAGATAAACTGTAGTACATCCAGAAAAGGGAATAGTATTTAACACTAAAAAGAAATGAGCTATCAAGCCATGAAAAGGCATGGAGGACTTAAAGGCATATTCCTAAGCGAAAGAAGCTAATCTGAGATGGATACATACTGTATAATTCCAAGTAGATGACATTCTGGAAAAGGCAAAACTATGCAAACAGTAAAAAGATGAGTGGTTGCTGTGATTAGGGGGGATAAATAGATGGAGCACAGAGGATATTTAGGGCAGAGAAGCTATTCTGAATGTTACTACAATGGTAGATACATGTCACTACACATTTGTCAAAATCCACAGAATTTACCACACCAATAGTGAACCGTAATGTAAATTACAGATTTGAGTGATAATAATAAGTCAACATAGGTTCTTTGGTTGAAATGGTACAATACCATTTTGCTGTGGGATATTGATGGTGGGGGAAGTTGTATATATGTGGGAACAAGCGGAATACGAAAACTCTCTGTACTTTCTGTTCAATTTTTATATAAACCTAAAACTGTTCTCTAAAATTTTATCAATAAAAAAATAAGCTAAATATATTCATTCCTGTGATACACAGGATCAAATGGCAATAAACTGACAACCAATTACATACAGATACTAAAAAAGTCAGCATTTGAAAAGACAGCAGTGGGGATTCCTTAAACTAAGTCCAGATAAAATGGTCTATTTTGTAATTCTTTATACTATTTTTACTGTGCCTTTTAATATCCAGTGCATCAATTTTATTTCACTTCTTTCATAGCAGGAACCATTTCATGTACAAAATATAAATTGTTAATGTAATGCTATGCCACTTAATATTTATTGATCATTTATCAAAATTAATGTCTTAAATTTAGCCAGTCATAGGCATCTGCATGTCATACAGAAAATTCACTCTAAACAAGGTAGAACTATGACTGAAAGGAATATACTTTCATTGTATTTCATGCATATGCTCAGATTAATTTGCATGTAGAGTAAGAACCAGCCTGAACCTCACCTGACTTGTGGAGGCTGATGGATCGAAGATTAGGAAACAACCTGGCCAATGAATCATCAGGCTCCTCAATAGCATTCAAATGATTGTTGGCCAGGACGAGGGTATCCAGTGAAGGAAACATAACTCCTAACTTTCGTATTTCAGTCCAGTCTTGGAGGTTATTGTCTGTTATATGTAGTAGCTTAAGAGAATGACAGCAAATAGAAGGACAAGACACTGTTTCATAGTCATTAAGGCACAGGAAGAGCTCCTCCAAACTGCAGAGAAAAAAGGAAATATTTCATTGTTTAAAGCAGTTTAGTTTCTACTTTACACCTATTTTCATTCATTCAATAAATAAATAAGAGCCTACTATATGTGAGACTCTGCTAGAATTGTGGAGAAAATACCAAGATGTCTTCCCGACAGTACACACTGAAATAGCAAAGAATGATATAAGGTAGTGTGAAATTACCAAATTACTTTTGTGCTTAAGTAATTAAGTACTAAATTAAGCAGTACTAACTGTAAGCATAATAGTCATTCACGTAAGAATGAAATTGAAATTACAGTTAGAATAACCAGGAAAGGATACATGGTCTTGAAGGAGGGGAGGACTTCCATAAGTTGAGAAGAGATAGAAGAAAATTCCAGAAACAACATGAACAAATGTTTAGAAGTAGAAATAATAACTATCATTTATTGAATCCCTACCCTGTGTCAGACCCTGTGCCAGGTATATCACAATTTTTTTTTTCTTTTTAGACAGAGTCTCGCTCTGTCACCCAGGCTGTAGTGCAGTGGCACGATCTCAGCTCACTGCAACCTCCACCTCCCAGTTTCAAACAATTCTCTGCCTCAGTCTCCCGAGTAACTGGAGTTATAGGCACCCACCACCACGCCCAGCTAATTTTTATATTTTTAGTAGAGACAGGGTCTTTTCATCTTGGCCAGCCTGGTCTTGAACTCCTGACCTCGTCATCCACCCACCTTGGCCTCCCAAAGTGCTGGGATTATAGGCGTGAGCCACCATGCCTGGCCTAGGTGTATTAAAGATTTTACTCCCACTTCTGCAAGGTAAATGCAATTTGCCCATTTTACAGACAAGAAAACTGAGCTCAAAGAAGTTAAGTAGCTTACAAAAGGTCATATGGTTAGTAATGAAACTGGCACTTAAAAGCTCATTCTATGCCATGCTAGGTGTTGGGTGCAGTGAGAAAACCAATCTCATTAAAGTGAGAGTACAAAATTAAGTTGGAATAAGTAGGGTGGGACAAGATTCTGAAGGGCTTTGAGAATTTCCATATTTAGATAGTCAAAGAAACTATGGCTTCTTTAAATTTCCTTTGCACATTTATATACATATACAAAGATAGAGACAAACAAAACATAATAAAGCATTTTTTAATTGACAAAAGTATAATTATTGAAAATAATACTAGGTTGATTTTCCCATCAGACCAACTAGGCACGTAATCATCTGAAAGTTAACACATTTTAGAGATACTACAATTTTTTCCTCCCAAAGAAAAGGGCTGAGGCTCAATTGTCATATCAGAAGATTAAAATGGAGTAAGGCTGAGTTGATTTAGAGTGATAAGTGCTTCTCAGGGATATTTTCTAGCTCAGAGATGACATATCCCATGTCTTGGTGCTACTCAACACTGAACATGTATTCCACTGGAAATGCTACTAGATTACCCTCACACTCTCATTCCAATAACCTCGTTTTTCTAATCTCTTTCTCCACTCAATCTGCAGTTCTAGTATTTCTTGGATGGGAGATCAGCAGTAATCCTATGTACTAACACAGATGGCAACATAGCTCCCTCGCCCTCACGCTCTTGGGGCTTACTCTGGTAACTCCTGCAGTATCGTGTGGACTGTCTCCCAAGAAGCTTTGCTGTTGTTGAGGACAAGTTTGCGAACCCCAGAGAAGGACCCAGCACATGTTCTTTCTAAAACCGACAAATTCAGAGGGTTGGAACTCAGGTTTAGAAACTCCAGCTGAGGAACATTTGACACAATTTTACTGACCTAAGGAGAAAAAAAGAAAAGCATTATCAGGCAGTAATCAGAGCTGTTAAATAGCAATCATGTTCAAGAAAGCCTAGGGGAGCCGGTCTCCAGGCAAAGGGCTGTTTATATTGGGGAGTCCTATTTAGTGATGGTACTCACAGAAGGACATAAGTGATTTCAGCAAACCTTGGCAAATAATTTAATCTTTCAGTGAAATAGTGGCATAACTGACGGGTACATAACAGAACTTAATGGTAAAAAGGAAGATTTCCTATGTCATCTTTAGAAAGGTTTCTGATTCTGCTCTATGTGGTGTTCCCTTTGGTAAGTAGGGAAAAGATAGTTTAGATGACATTTCTTAAACAGTTGAGATTAGGTCACATAATTCTCTTTGTCTCTTTCCTCTCATTCTTAGCACAATATTAAGGCTAATTAAAGGTTAAAAATCACATGATAACAATTCATGTTTTAAATTTGATTGCATTATCACAATCACTTAGAAAACAGTTTCAATTTGGTTCAAAGATGTACCAAACTTTAAAATATGTTTACTTAAAAACAAACAAAAAAAATCCAGAACTATATAATGAAAGGGAAAACAAGATCATCTACTTAAGGATTTAGCTAGCAACTTGGTAGACAAAAAGGAAAAAAAGAAAATGATCATTACTGACCTTAACTATTTGGTCTGCATAGTACTAGTCTTTTATGATATAGTTTATTTCATTAAATTCCAAAAACAACTTGCAAGATAATACTACTTTCATTTTAATACGTGAGAAAACTTAGGCTAAGAAATGTTAAATAATTTGATTAAGGCTTTACAGTTACAAAGGTCAACTCTGGGATTTAAAACTCAGAGCCATTGTTCTTTCCAATATACCATATTTATACATCATAAACAAAACCAGGAAAAAACATGAATAAAGAAAACTGAAGACTAGTTGGTACAATCTGTGAGAAGGATCAGCTTAAACAAGTATGAAATAAATGCTAGATGTCCAGCAAATGTATTAAGCAACAGCCAGGCAATGCAATAAGTAAAAGTTGTAAGAAAAGGAGAAAAAAGTAGTTAGGATTAGTTTTAGAGTCGAAAAACTTGGGTTTAAACGAGGTTCCAACATTTCCTAGCTGTGCGGTTTCAGACAAGTTACTTAACCTTTCCAAATCTCAGTTTCCTCATTTGTAAAATAGGGAAAACAGTTCCCATCTATTTTACAGGACTGTTGGTAGGATTAAATGAGATATACATGTAAAGTGCTTAGCATAGCAATTGACACATATTTTTGAAACTTGTTTCCCTACCTACCCTCCAATAGCATGTAAGCTCTATAAAAGCAGATATAGTACTTACCTAGTTCACTACTGTGTACTGGGCACTTATTTACTGAATAGCTTAATGGCACAAAATCATTTAATAAATGTAACTATTATGAACATAAACATAGTATGAACCATTATCTCAACCCTGGCTACCCATCAGAATCACTGACAGAATTTAATATATACTGATTCCAAGTTTCCACCATAATAATTGAATCAGAAGCTTCATAGGTGGGACAAGCTTCAGGGTTGCAACCTGAAAATCTTTCTTTTTAGAGCTCCAGAAGTCATGCCAAAAGAGTATCCAGGAGGGAGAACCACGGGTAGAAGGAAAAAGTAACCTGTATTTTACATCCGTTCAGGAGCCCTAAAATCAGTGAGAAGTAGATTAATTCTAAGAAGTTTCAGAAGAGTGTGTCTGAAGAAAAAGTTCCTTGCACTCACTATTTCACTTATTCCACACACTAACCCTCTAAAGTGGGTACCCTTTTCATCCTCACTTTACTTTTTAGAGAAAAGGTACCTCATTATCCTCATTTTACAAATGAATAAATGAGCTACCTTTTAGAGAAAATACACTTTCTGTTTAAAGTGTAAGGAATTTATACCAGTCTGCACATAGTCTCTTGCTTGATCCCCTTTGTGATCAAATGGTATCAAACATTTGTGCAATATATGGCTAGTATTTGCAGCTCAGTCTGTGACCAAAACATAGCTAAATAGTTCATGCAGGAACCAATCTGTACTGCATTCTATGACTGAATACTGATATGAAGAACTTTCATACAGAAGATGCTTACCAGCTATACTTAATCTCTTTGTGGGGGTGGGAGGGGAACAGGAATTATGCTCCAATTAAAGCATGAAGAATAACTTATTATAGGAGAACCCTAGTTAAATAAAAACAAAACATAAACTCTTTGCTAACTACTACCTCTCATATTTTATTTTTATAATAAAGAGAAAAACACTTTTAAAAATAGATTATTTAAGGGTTTTGAAACAATTTCTGGGAGATTTCCCAAGGCTAGCAGATACATGACATAATCATCATAATTTGCATCAACATTACTGTACAGTGAGAATAAATTTTCAGAATAATGACTCGTTAACCCTAGAATATCCTAAAAGATAAAACTGGACTAGAATTTAATCATTCAAGCAGGGAAAATAATAAGTGTTAGAAATAAATGAATATTTTCTTTAAGGGCCGAAATGTAAAAGGTTTTTTGAGTAACCTCAAATTGATGAGACTCAGGAAGATACGATATTCATTACACAGGTAAATTTACTTATGACAGAAAAATTTCTCAATACCAAAAGCTGACAAACATTCCATGAGCTTCTAGGGCAGTATATTGATTTTTCTTTTTCAAATTCTAAAAATAAAAATGCCTGCTCCAACTGGAATGAGTATGGCTCATGTGCAGAAACATGGAGATGAACCCAGATCACCTTTTAGGTTTCTACAATTCTATGATTTAATAGGGGACCCTTTACTTTGGCTTCCAAAGAGGAAGAAACTAAAGATTTAAGAAAAATGGGAAAAGGGTTTGAAGATAACAATCTGTCATCTGTACCCAAGCTATTCTCTACCTTACCTGAGTAACTACTGCCTCCCTCCTCTCAACCAACTAGGTTGAATTTCTTTTATAAAATGGTTTCGATAAGGAAGGGAATACAAAGAAGGTACCTTGGGAAAGGTCAGACAAGGATCTACTCAGCCAAAAATTCAAGACAAAAGCTAAAAAATGCATTATTTTTAAACATAGGTGCCCAATTTTAGAAGGGTGAAGAGAAATATTTGCCTCCTCAATAGTACTACTTTTTTCATCCATGTTTATCTTAGACTCTGGATATTTTACAGCCATTAAATTAAGCTACAAAAGAAGTTACTTATAACTTATACTATTCTTGGTCATCTAAAAAACTAAGGGAAAAATTATGTAATTTGTTCCACATTGGCCTATTAATACTGGCTAAAATAAATTCCATTAATGGCTAAGGACAAATTATCTTTCTGGTAATCAGAGATATGGGTCATAATGGGGTTGAAATCTAATGTCTTAAAATTGACAACCTATAAAGCATTTGTAGCCTGGCAAAGAGTTTAATCAATCCTAAAAATCAACATTCTTTTGTCATAATTCTCCCTTCTCTATGTTCTGATATATCCTCTAGAAGACTGGGATCAACCATATTCAAGGATAAGGAGGAAATATAAAGGAATGATGAAAACAAAACTAAATTGGAAAATAGATACCTGAAAGTAGCAGCAACAAACATTTACTTGAAAACTGCCTGAAAGCAGACTATAGAGCACTTACGAATATACAAATTGAGTACAAGTACAGTATAGATCAGTACGTGACCCTCTGGCTATGTGTTAATGTGGTGTGAGAAAAACTTAACATAGACCTTTGTCTAAGCAGAGAAAAATGCTGAATTACTCAGTGTACACACTGTGTACACATTACATACATCTTCCTCCTGAGGTAACAACTACATCACTATTACACTGTTCCCACCAATTAGCAAAAGCTTCTATACCTGGTCAAAGCACAAAACCTTTGTAAAATTTTGTTTCCAAAGAAACAAATTTGAATTGTGGACAAAGCATGCATGACAATTAAATGTTGCAGAGTACCAAGAAAGCACAGTCTGTAATTTGTTTAAGAGTAAACTATGTAAGTTGTTCAGATAAGTAAACAAATACATATACAAACAGAAGTTATTTTTCGAATAGCCCTGTAAACCTGCATAGGTTAATAAATAACTTAGAAATCGGTGACATGCATTGCAAAGAATTTTGATTAAAATCCTAATAAAAATAGGAAATATAACCAAGAACGCAGTTACCAGATTAGACAAGGGCATAAAATAGATAAATATAAGAAAACCTGACTAAAACTAGGTTATGGATCAGTTTTTCTTAAGAAAGCCATCTTAGAATTTGTATAGCATTCAATATCTACTAAGTGTTTCAATGATTAATTTTATCGGCAAGTCTATCTTATGGATGAGCAAGCTAAAGCTCTAAAGGATTACATGAATTTCTTAAGATCGTAGGAAAAGTTGGAACAAGAGGTCTTGATCAATCCTTAAGATATAATCATTTAATAATTAACACACTCAACAAACATTTGACTACTTAGTATGCTGGGCTTATGCTTTAAAAAAAGATAAAAATTTCCACTTGGAATAAGCTCATAGTCTGGTATGAAAACTGTCAAGTAAGCAAGTGATTACAATACACTGTGATAAACCCTTTCACAGTGGTATAGTGTAGCTGCTCTGGGATAATCTGACTCTGTCTGTGAGACAGCCAGGGAACATTTCACAGAGAATAGCAACTTGGGCCAAGTCTTGAAGGATATACAGGAAGTGGTCAGGCAGAAAAGAGGAGAAAGAGAGCAGTGGGTTCAGAATGAATAAAAGCAAGGAAGCTTTTAATGTCAAGAGTTTATCATGAGCTACAAGTAAAAGTATATGGCCAATGATGGAGATAAAATTCTAGAAATAGCAAAGGGCCATATGATGAAGGGCCATCCTTAAAGAGTTCAGACTTTAGCTTCTTGGCAAAGAAAGGACACTGTAGGCCTTTATGCAGGACAGTGTCATAATCATGCTTCATTTATTAAAAAGAGTATGTGGTAGCTTAGCGGAGGCAGGATAAAGCCAGATCCAGGAAAGCCCATCAGGAAAGTCTTCCTAAAGTCAAATAAAAAAACGACAGCCTAAATTAAGGCAGAAGAATGAACCAGGTAACAAGAACTATTTTAACCTTATTCTTCAGGGTAGCTTAGAAGCTAATCAGGTAATGTTATAAGCAGGCAGGTGATGTTATATATAAGAGAATGTTATAAAACTGTATTTGTGTACTTTTACAAACTATGCGTGTAGTTTATAGTTATTCTGAGGTCGGGACATCAGTTATGTCAAACCACCCAAGGGGTTTGATAATATAAGGAAAGTTGCAAAGTATTCGAATACATTTCAATAACAAGAATAAATATATTTATAATCTCAGTGTCAATAATTTTATGTCAATGTGCAGTAATAATATTGAAGTAGAGGCAGAGAATAAGCATAGGATGTATAAATTAATGAAACAGTAGAAAATTTAATGCATTGTTAGCAGTTTAAACTGATAAAGACTAATCAACTTCTTGATACCTAAATTTCTTTAGTGATTTTCACATTGATGAAAAACAAATTAACAATAACAAAGCTAACTGAAAAATCACCAGAGACAGAGTCAGGTATTTATCTTTTTTTTTTTTTTTTTTTTTTTTTTTTTTTAAATTAAAGATGCGTTATTGCTATGTTGCCCAGGCTGGTCTTGAACTCCTGGGCTCAAGTGATCCTCCTGCCTCAGCACCTTAAGCACTGGGATTATAGGCCCTTATTTATCTCCAGACATATAGACATACAGACAAGAAGAAGACACACAGTCATCAAGTGAGAACACAAGTTAGCAGAATAGATAATAACATAAACAATGATACAATGGTTACTCCTGCTTTTCACCAAAATGTAGCAATGTAAAAACTTTACCTCATGCCAGTCTTCGAGTTTGTTGTCAGAAAGATCTAGTTCCGACACATGAGCGCAGAAGGCAGCAATTTCTTTTTCATCTCCTGCACAGGTTATTCCACAGCTGTTCAACACTAGTACACTTGGGAGGTTGAGGCGATCTGAGTGATGAGGGATACAAAATACTTTTTATATCAGCCAAATTCTTGTTTACATATGTTCAGCCCCCAGGAATTGTCAAGAAACAAAAATCAAACAGTGTGAAATTACACAAGGACCTAGAAAATACAGGATATAATGGAACCAAAAGGCACTGAATTCTAAGAAGAGACAGTCAAATTTGCCCAGGAGGAGCTCAGAAGTACTGCACCAGCAGTCTTCTAGGCTTTAACTCGTAGCAGGATTGTTCATCTCAATTACCAACAACAGAGCCCTCGTCCATGCTATCATCTTATCATCTGAACACAGGATCCATGAAATTCATGTGTGGACTACCAGTGCTTTCTTATAGGCCTCAATTATTATTATTATTTTAAATTTTGTTCCAAAGTATTCTGAATGGCTATTTTCTCCTTGCCTGATGTGGATCTATATCTTTTGTGCCTTTGAAAATCACCTCAAACATTAAATAATTAATCTACCTACTAAATCACTTCTGTCAAGTTTGTATCATTCAAGAAATCTTCCTCACTTAAGTGGGTCCATTCAAAACTCTACGTCTTTCTCATCCTTGTCTATCAATTATTTCCACTTCACATCCCTACAGAAACTGTCCCTTATGAAAATTAGCCTTCTTTTAAAATATAATTGTAATGACAGAAAGTATTTCAAAGTCTTAAACTATTCACTGAATTTAGTGAAACCGAGGTAACAATTTTTGGCTACTGCCTAGCTCAAAAACACATGTGTCAATAAAATCACTCTAAAGGTATAAACATGAGAATGCAACCACTCTTTTCCCATTTGGTATAAAACAAGGACTCATCAAAGTAATACTTTATTAATGAAGACCTCAAATTGCATGGTTTTCATGTAATCTTGCTACTTTCAGCAACATATTTCTCAGAATGGGAATGGATCCTGAAAAAAAAAATTATCAAGGAAGAAAGCCACTTGTCTCTGCCATTCCAGGTTTTATATAGAGAGATAAGATTATTGTATTTGGAAACAGCAAACACTCAGTAACCTTTGAAAGAACTAAAACAATGATTCAATATTAATCCCCCACAATTACAAAAAACTACTTCCAAGAACTTTTTATTGCAACATTAAGCTAAAAGGCAAGCAAAAATAGACCTTGCACATCTCTAGTTACAGATTTTTGCTCACATCTAATCCCTCTCCTAGAATGTATCTCATCTCTAACCAAATTCTATATTCTTGAAGTACTAGTTAAAATCCTATAGCTTTGAATAATTTCTTGATCATATTAATTATCTTTTAAATTTCTTTCCCAATCACTATACCATTCATTTGGCTCAACATAAATTATCTTGTGTTGATTTACCTTTGTAAATGTGAATATCTTATAAACCAATTAGGCTATAAGGTCCTGAAGGGCACAGGCCAGTCTTGTACTGCTTTGTACCCTCTAAGTTCCATAAAAGAATATGCATTTGAAATATTATAACTCAAATATTATTCTTGTCCTACATATGCAACTAAAACATCTCTTGGTCAATCTGGAGGAAAACCAGTCCTGTTAGGTTCTTTAAAAAACTGAAATCATAACAAGGGGGAAAGACTATTTGACTGTAATTAAAAATAAAATTAATCATTTGTAAACAAGGCAACATTGTGATTTAACATCCTTAGTAAGCTCCAGAATGTAAGTGTTTTAGGTATCATCTTTCTTACCTTTCATAGGAGAGCCCTGAGGTGTGGCTGGGACATGGACTCCCATCCCCGGGCCACGGCGGTAAGGAAAATTTTCAGGACTATATTTTTCACATAATACTTGCATGAAACTTCTTCCACTAGGTTGATCCATGTTTCTTTCTTAAAATGCTACAAGAAACCAAGAAATCATCAAATTATTTATTTACTCATATAAAAAGTATCTACTGAAAACAAATTACTTATAAAGTACTAGGACTGGGCATTGCAAGACACATAATACTTGGTCACTGACCCTAGAAACATATATTGTGGTGACAGCTTACAATTTAAGGAAGCTACATATATAGACAAATGACATCAATAACAGTTGAGCATATGATATCTGCAATACAGATGAAAAGTATTACAAGATTTAGAAGAGGAGTGATTACTTCCAACCAATGGCAATGAGAAAGCTTTTAGCTGGTGCATAGGATTCATGTGGATAAGTAATTGGAGACAGGTCTGAAAAAGAACATACAAATTGAACATCAGGCTAAATAGTTTGGATGAATCCTTTAATATCTGTCCCTCAAAATTCATTATCTTCCTCCATAGTAAAAGAATATTTAACTGGATATATGGATAACTATATTTAGGAATAAGTGCTGGCTAAGTTGTAGCTGATGAGATAGAAACCAAGTATTCTGTGTCAGCTTCTAGGAGTCATCATTAAAAGATGACCAGAGTGTGCCATTTGCCCTCCTTCTTTGTTTCTTCCTCCATCTGTTGCCTAGAAAACTAATGCCACCAGACAATGAACCCAAGGAATATACCCTAAGAAAAGTAGAATGAAGAGCTGAAAGTGCTCTGCATCCTTGAGGACTGCATGTAACTGAGCTGCCATACTGGTACATATCTCTGGAAATTTTAGTGACAGGTAAACAACATATTTTGTTTAAGTCATCATTCTTTTCAAATTTTTAGCTACCTACAACTGAAGCTAATCCTAAATAATATGTAATGTCATCTCTTTTCGTTCTGCGTTTGGGTAGGGACCTTTCTGTTTAGCACCAGTTAAGGGTCCAAACACTGAATGACTCCAGCATCTGAGAAGATGAGTACTGAGAAATGCTCATGCATACATTAAAACAGGTTATATTAAACAACATGCTAACTTCTGACAACCTTTAACTCATGACTTAAGGGGCTGGCTATGATCCATATTAAATATTAATCAAAATATAGGCAGCTACAATTGACTTTTGTAATTTCAACGATTAGGTGTCAGGCTCTTTTACTAAAATAATCAGAAGGGAGAAAGATATAGAGACTTTAGGGTATTCAGAGAAGAAGACATCATAAGAAAAGAAACAGCAGTAAAAATGTATTATGATATGTATGAGTATGCACAAAAGATCTGATGTTGCCAAAGCAGCCTGGCAATGGTAGACATCATCTGGAGCACCTATATAGGAACCTCAGAGGAGATCTTGTATACCACATAAGGAGGTTGAACTTTATCCTACAAGAAATGGAAAAAACTAAAAGGTTTTAAAGAGGGGAATACAACAACTAATTTTTAGGGCAAACTCATCCTGGCAATCATGGAGCTGATGAATATGAGGGAAACAAGACTAAAGGCAAGGAGACGCGTTAGGAAGATACTGCAAAAATCAGGAGAGAGCCTGAAGCGATTCAGTAGTAGAATAAATATAAAGCAGAAGCAGAGTCACAGTCACGTTAAAAAGCAAGCTTTTCAGAAATTACAGGGGCTAAGGGAGAAGGCAAAGTCAAAAATGACTCCCAGGTTTCTAGTTCAGGTGACCAGGTGACTGGTGATATCATTAACTAACAAGAAAGCAGGAACAGAGCCCATTTTACAGAAGAAAATAATGAATTCCACTATAAACATCTTCAATTTGAAGTGCCTGTGGAAGATCCGGGGAAACAATCTGAAGTCGGGTGGAAAAGGTGAGCTAAAGATGAAGGTCTGGACATCATTATGATATATAAAATCTTATGAATAAGAACAGAAGGACAATTGTCACTGATATTTAAGGGACAGGCAGGGAAAGCAGAGTCATGAAGAAAAAGAAAGAAAACCGCCAGACAGTGGAGTGTTTAGCCAATATTTTGAGAAGTTTTGCTGGAAGTGGAGAAGGAAGATGGGGATGATAAGGTAGACAGGAACAAAAGAGAGTAGGGAATTGGAGCAACTGTCAAGATTTCATATCTTAAAATAAGAGAGAACCAAACAAGGTTATAGATTACAAGGAAGAAGCCAGTAGCCATGAAGAGGCTGAAAAATCACTACCTGTACTTTGTCCCAGAAGAAGCTAGCAGGAATGAGCACTGAAAAGCTTCTCAGAAGGCTGTGTGATACTAGCCAGATAATACTTCAAATTGTTTCCCATTAGTGGTGACATACTTGCTTCACTATAGTTACTGGTTTACTTTTTGCTTATGCTGTTTAATTATAATGAACATTAGGTATTTTTCTTGTGATTATCTTATGTCTACCACTATATTATAAAGGGGAGTGGAACTGTGTAATCCTATTTCTTTCAGTATCAACTGATAGCATCAGGCATCATGGTAACAGTTTGATAAATGTTGCCGAGTATTAAAATCACTAGCCTCTCAGATGCTGACAAGAAAGGGCAGAGAATTTAGGATGGAAGGTAGGTCTACATCCCACCCAGTTCTGACTACTTAATAGTTTTGTGCCATCAGGCAAGTCACTGTATCTCAAATGTCTTCAACCATAAAATAAGGTATTAACACCTCTACCATCTGGATTACAGGGTTGCTATAGAGCTCTAAAATATATAAATGCACTATCTGGATTACAGGGCCGTTGTAAAGTTCTCAAATCTATCAATGTTAATTATAAGAGGAAGTTGTAGTATAACAGAAAGCATATGGACATAGGAAACTGAAGCTCTTTCCCTAGCAGGGTAAACCATAGGCTAGTTATCTAATCTCTCTCTGCTTTAATTGTCTCACTTATGTATGGCCTAAACTTTCCTCTCAGGTTTGTAATAAGAATTTGAAAAAAGCATGAATATAAAAGTGGTTGTTAAACTTGGCTCTAGTAAAACTAGATTACTAGCAGGACCATGATCTACTGGACTTTGTGGAAGCAATTCACAAACGCCTAGAACACAGGAGATGCTCACTGAGCACATGCCCATCCACCAAACAAAAATTTTCATGGTAAATGAAATCTATTTCATAATGAGTAAAGTGACCTTGAAAATAGAGGGCTGCCCACTGCTCAAGATTCCCATTTGTAAGCTGAAGGATAGAGTGTGTTTTAGTACAAAGCAGTTTGTTCTTTCTATCTACACAGTGTTAACTGTCTACATAGCAGCTGCCTTCTATGCCAACACTGAGTGTGTCAAAATTGAAAGGTGTTGTGTTCATGTAGGGCTTTGGGAACTTCAGGTTGAAAAGTGCTTTTTCAATGAAAATTCCTCACCACCAACAGCAGACAACATGGAGCAGGTGCTATGCCACTAGCGACAGGCACCATCGACATTATCAAAAAGACCTGTCTCAAGCAGAATGCCAACAAAAGTTTTAGAAATTTTTAACAAAAAGCCAAAGGAGTTACCTTGCTGTCTTCCATAAAATCAGCAGTTCAAAAGAATAAAAAGTGTGTGGAGAGGGTGAAGTGTCACTGTCGATATCATACCACTGAGTTTAAGCAGCACCTTTTATCTGGAGGCTTCAGAACCACTTAAACTCAAGCTTATACAGTTCCAGGGCAATAATTGCATATACAATTTAAATACAGAGAAACCAAGGGATGGTAGGAAAAACATATTCACATTAAAGTGCTAGTGAGCAAGCAAACATGGGAACTTAAAAGTTTTTCTTCATAGTCCCATGCTGTTAAGAACTCTTCCAAATAGGATTTTTTTTTAATAGTTCTTTTTTTTAAGATCGAAAAGCAACACCAAGTGCGTTCATTGGTCATTTTCCAGGATACACGACTGGATTAACTTTCCAGGAATGCAGATGAGTACACATTAATACATAGATTTTGAATTAGAACATTAAGATTGTGAAACGGATTGGTAATGTAACTCTATTCAAAATCTGTTGGGGCAGTCTGAGGAGGAACAGTAGGTGGGAAAAAAGGCTGAAAACCAAACAGATTGAAAAATGAGGAAATACTGGATGGAAAAAGATCTTTAACTAGAGCCTTTAAAAGGTTTTTGGGGGGTGGGAGGGTAATCTATGACATTCTGGAAATAACAAGTGTCAAATTACATCAGACTGCCTGTATAGCTGGCAGAGTTCTAATGCATTTGTAAAACTGTTCTGAATTAGTGCTGAAAGCCAGAGAGCCAGGGATCTCTGGTGATATTGCTTGGTTCCATTACTAAGTTGTAAAGTGGGCCTGTGAAAATCTTAATTCGTTTGTGCCTCAAGATCCTGACTATAATATACTCTTGTAAAGTGTTTGGAAAAAGTCAAGATAATGTATGAGTTGGAGGATAAGGTGCTCAGTACACTTTTGCCAATTACATTAAAATCAGAACAGAACGTCCGGTCACCTAAGTACCCTTAATCACTATTGAGGTTAAGTACACAAACAATTTGCACTTTATGTTCCCAATAAAAGGGTTAGGTCAAAATTAGTAAGAAGCTCAACACAACTGAAAACAGAAAGTAGGTCATGTCTGAACCACTAATACTGGGAAACCTAAGATAGATCCTTTTGTGTAATAAGTATGTAAGGTCAATACTTATTTCACAAAGAAGCAATGTAGAGTAATATACTTCATAAAGCATGAATACTGCCAGTTCACTCACTAATTCCAAAAGATATAAAAAGTACTCCACAGAGTGCCAATATATACATTTTAAATCTTATAAAAATAGATTTATCTGCTTGTATATGCATAGGCTATCTCCGGAAGGATAAAATAAAAATGAAAAAAAGTAGTATCTGCAGTTGACTCCAGAGAGAAGAAGTGAGGAATATGAGTGGAAAGATTTGCTTTCCAGTGTTTACCCTTTTGAACCACTTGAATTCACAATGTACATACATCATCTTTTTGAAATGTAAAATGCTTTTAAGTAACATACCTGGAAATAACCTAATCATTTGTCAAAGAGTTTTTTAATGTCTTCATTATCATAATGTTTCTATTTTTAAAAATCCAAATTGGAATTTGGATATGTAGAATATAAAATATTATTTTTAAGGAAACTGGGGAGGAAGAAACGAGAAATGAAATAGATGGCTAAACAGAAACATAATTTTGTGAAACAGCATCAGCACAGAAAAAGCAAGCAGAAACAAAATACATCCGAGCCTGAGAACCAAAAACTAAGAGGAGGGAATGAGATGAAGATGAGTAGGCTGCGAAGGCCACGGCAGCATTCTGCCTTTCTTTACCATGGCTTTCACAGGTCAAAGCAAAAGCTCCACTACGGGGTGTATTGAAGGGCTGGAAGAATACCTCAGGCTTGCACAGTTCCACTTACTTTTCTAGCCAAGTTAAATGGGTTCCTACAAGTTACCCAAATGTTTCATCCAAATTACCCAAATTTGACCCAAATTATTCTGACTCTGGAGCCACAACATAAGGAAGTGTGATGCTTTAAGATGGTTGGGAGATTCAGGCCTCCCTGTCACCTCGGACTGTAGAGATTTAAAAAGGAAAGAGAAGTGCTTCCTGCAGCAGGAAGCCATTCCTGCAGGTTTCAAGCTACTACAATAGTAGATAGCTAGAAACTGATTTGTGCTTTTGAAAAAGAAATCACAATAATTCAAAATGTGCATTAATTTAGGATGCAGCCAAATCTTTAAGAAGTTTTCACAGCTTTCACAGAAATGGAGAAAAGGAAAACACTCTCAAGTAATTTAAAATTACTTTCAGTTATTTGACAAGGACCTATTTGTATACAACAAATCAATCATATCTATTCATCAGAGAAGGGCAGAAAAAACTACACTCTAAAAGCTACCTGCCAATATTTTGCTGCCACTATTTGAAAACAAAACTTCAGGTAAACAATTTGCCAAAGTCTCCACAATTTCACCTTTAACTTCCTTTGGTCAGATGATATTTCATTCTAGTGATTTGCTATCCACTTGGGTAATTGCTTTCTTCATTAGACAATTTAAGAATGAGAATTTCCTTACCAATTGTTTAGTAAAAGTGCAGACAACAAATATATTTAGTTTTCTCTGCCATCTCTTTTCATTTTCATACCTTAACAAATTCTCCCAATTAGGCATATTTGCCCATTCATTTCTTTTTAAAATGTGTGCCTTCACAGAGCTTAGTTTCATTTACTTCAGTTCAACAAGCATGTACCAGATGCTAAATCTATGCCAAATACTATGCTAACCACTAAAGAAAGTGAGAATGAATAAAATCCAAACTCTGCCCCTAGGGCATCCACAGTCTAGAATGAAATAAATGAGATAACACATACCTAAAATAAACCAGACAAGAAACAGTGAATTAAACATAAGAAGTGATTAACTTTCAGAAGTGTGATCAAGGAAATACATAAATCCTGAGCCATTTTGAAAGTTGAAGATTAGCTGACAAGGTGGGGAATGGCATTCCAGGCACAGGAAACAATAGCACATGAGCAAGCACAAGAGACCAAAAACAAGGGTTATCAACGTACTGCTGAAACATAAAACGTGTGTGCTGACAGGTGCGGAAGACAGGAGATTCAACTGTGGAGGTGACAGTGGTCAGTAAGGTCATGATTGACCTTTCTTGGGCTAGACTTTATCCTACAAAGATAAAAGTAAGAAAAATTCTGAGAGATTACTGTGACTAGAGTGCAAGGATGAGGGTTACCGTTATTTATGTAGAATACAGAGAGGGCAAAAATGAGAATTTAAAAATCAGTAAAGGACTAGGCAATGAGGAGTTTGTTTACCTTAGGAAAAGCACTTCCAGTACAGTCAGGGGAGCAGAAACCATAGAATAGGGAATACAGTAAATAAGCTGAGACAGCGTAGCAATCATACCTTTAAGAGGCTTAAATGAAAGTGAATGAGGTGAGACGGTGGAAAAAACCAAGAGTTAAGAAAGACTTGTTTTTTTTTTTTGTTTGTTTGTTTGTTTTTTAAGAAAAAGACAAAAGACAGAGAAATGTATAACCTGAATTTGGAAGGGGGGAGAGGAGGTCAGCCAAAACTAAGAAAACAAAGCCAGAGGAGGAAAATCTCCTGGCTACCTTCAAAGAACCTCTCAGGATTGCTACCTTTCTCAATTTTTGCAAGTTTTGATTTTGTTTTGTTTTTTAAGCCCATTAAGCTTTCACTTTGTGGACTCTTCTTCTAACCTCATCTCCAAAAAGCTTTCTTCTTTTGAACAGTTCTCCACTGTATGCAAACTCTGCCAGATTCTTCGACATTTTAGGTAGCTGGAATTTTTGTTTTGTTTTCTAAAGCAGTCTTTCTGCTCTTCAGCATAAGAGTATCCACAAAAAGACTGGAAAAAGTGTTTTTTTTTTTATTCTGGAAAAATGCTTTTTTCTTATTCTGGAAAAGCATATGTATCTGTTATATATTTTTTCCTCCAGGAAAGATGAAATAAATCAATGAATAAAGGTCTCCTAACTAGCTTTTTTCTAAATATTTGCTTTTAAAAAAGTACAATATTTGTTTTTATTCTGAATTTTTTTACAATTTCCAATTAAAAATAAGTAAGCAACAACAATGGCAAAACCAGTAATCTCACCATGTAGTTTCCCTTTTTATTAGCTAAGCTAATCATATAAATAAGTATTATCAAAAGCTTTTCACATCTGAAGCATAGTTGGAGCCACATTCACACCAGGAGACTTTGGTTTAGATTTAGCAAGCACATGAAGTCTGAGTATGCACCTCAGGGTATGTATCTTTCTAGACCATTTTTTCCATGCTATGTAGATATATATTTTTTACACAAAGATTAGATGTGTAGTTTTAGATATACAGTTTTATAACCTGTCTTTTGGCTAAATAGTCCATGAAAAACTTTCCATATCAGTAAGTGCATATCTACCTAATCATTTTTAAGGTTTATATTAGTATTCCACTAATAAGTTTTTGGAGCTGAAGTCATGAATGACAGCTCTCTCTCCTACATAAACACTTCCAGGACACTAACCAAGTCAGCATAATTAGGCTGGATGGTTTCATTCTGTGTGGCACTTCCAATTTCATTTATCCTGAAGTGCCTATACCTGTGATTCTATCTCAGTTTTTACCCTTGAGCATTATGTCATATAGCTAAGTAGATGCTCTCTTTGGAGAAAAAGGAAAATAAAGTAATTCTAATAATTTTAGCACTATTTTGTAGAATTTTAGTTAGCCAATTCACTAACTTAACTCTAAGTATTCTAAAAGCAAAATGAGTGTAGCTGATAAAGGCCTTATCATAACACACCATGCCACCACGATTTCACACCCTACTAAGAACCACCCTATGTCTCAAAGTCTCTCAACTGTATACTACATTATACACAAGTGTAGTGATGTGGCACATCAACCTTTCTTGGTAGGAGGTTTTTTTAAAATCCAACACTGCCAGATGAAATGTGAATTTGGACTCCTGATCATTCCTTTAATTATGCTATCAGTCAGCCACTACCACCTTCTTCTTTTATCACATTATTATGCTTCTCCTTAAAAGTACCACAAACATTAAAATGCCTATCAAAAATTCTTTATTTCATTGTTATTAGTGACAAAGATAGCTAAAACTGTGACTATGTTATCAGTGAGAAGTACAGCTTCAGAGCTGTCTATATTTTCTACTAAAGAACTATATTGCATATAAGGCACTTTAGATGTTGAACAAAGATACAAATTTTTCTCATCTACAACTGCACATTAGCAGTTATAACTGACTCTCATGCTTGTAGTCCATCAGACATAAACACAGCCCTTGAAATTTCTGATCCAAATACACTAGCCCCAGAATTTCATAATTTTGATGAGAAATATGAGGAGAAAAAATTAAGACAATACTACTATTTAGACTGAAGTACCTGTTTCTGTGATATTTCTAAACACTTCTTTCTTCATTTACATAACCTCTCATCTTCCAAAAATGTTGGTTTAAACCAACTGTCTATGTCCCTATTAAATCAGATATTCTGAAATATAAGAAAAAAGCACTTTGCATATACTTTCAGCAACAAAAACAACGAAAAAGGTTTAACATTCACTGACTTTTATTCTAAGGGCTTCCAAGGAGAGTTCCATCCTGCCCATCCCTCCACCCTCACTCTGCTCTACCACATACACACCCAACTCCTTTACAAACAAATTTACATCTACTCCTACCTTTCTATTTGGCCCAGATTCGATTTGGTAAAATTCCAAGGCTTTAAAGTTGCATTTATTCAAAGCAGGATTAGATACATTTACTCTTGAACTGATGTTCCCAAACTAAGTGTCCCCACACTGAGATTAGCAATCATTTTAAAGCCTAGTAATTTTCCAAAACCACTCTCTGAAACAGAAAAACTTATCTCTATTTACAGGATACGAAACTGAGGGGACTTGCTTGGCTTTCTGTGGCCTTAACAGCATGCTAAGTCATGCTTTCTGTAGCCTTAATCTGCTAAGCCATGCCATCTTTACCAAAAAAGGAGTATTGCATGTCAACAGTATACAACATCACACACAAAACATGGAAACATAACTTACAAAAATATATGAAACCTATTACAGCCAAAATTCCTCTTATAACCACATTAAAGTAACTGAACCAAAAAACTAAGCAGCAATACCGACTGGTCTAATCCTCAAGGGGAAAAAATTATTCCCAACTTTTCCATCCTTCCAAAAAGCAATGAAGATTTTTTTCCTTGAATACATTAGGTTTCATCAGAAGAAAACTGTATATGCACATTTTCTTTCCACTGTGAACACACAAGTTTAAGGTCATTACTTAGCTGTTTACAGAAAGATTACCCCCATTATCTGTGCTCTTGAGCAGCTACAGAAGCCATCATGTTAAGTAAAAGCCTCATTAGGAACAGATCACAAGTTCATCACTCTACAGCCTTCCAGAGCAGTTTACAAACCACCCTGACTAATAACCAGGGATTGCAAGAATCTTAAAACATCAATCACGCATAAAGGTTGAAAAAGTTTGCAGATCATCAAGAAAACGAAAAGAAAAATCTACATTTTTTTCACTAGCTCCTTTTACATTTAGTGCTATGGCAATATTGCCTGATGGTAATAAGTGCTGGTTCTAAAACTAAACTCTCTGGGTATGTGAATCCTGACTGATTCCACTACTCTGTGTGACTGTGGGCCAGTTACTTAAGTTATCTAAGTCTACCCTTCCTCATTCATAGGAAGGGGTAGTAGCCTGTAACCCCTAGCTCACAGGGTTACAGAAGAATGAATGGAGATAATATTGGGAAAGGGTGGTTAGCACAGTACCTGGCACATAGACAGCACTTATAAATATGAGCTTACTATTACTTCTCCTGCTGCCCCATTACTACTACCATCACCACTCAGTGAACATGATAGCATGGATTGAGCTTAGAGCTGGAGGACTAACTTGCAATTTTTTAAAGTAGATTTAATCTCATTTTTAGGTCCAAGGACTATGCTAAATTAATACCAATTAATGATTTGGCACAGTAAAAATGTCTGACATTTATGCTATTCCTCCTTAATTGGAAGAGCTTGCCCTTACCTCTTCACCTATCTGAATTTTATGCATCCTGCCACACATTACTCAAAATATACTTCAGAGATGAAGCCTTTTCAGATACCTCTCCCTATAGTGATGTTTCCTTAGAGTTAAGCTCATGTTAATCTTGCCTGAAATATTCAGTGGGCGATTAATCACATACCGGCATGTCTTCTTTTCATTTTGAATAATATACCCTTATTTTGCATGTGTAGCAATGTAACTTTCATGTGTTTGTCTTGTGTTTTCAAACTGTATAGCTCTTGAGAGTAACAACTATATCCTAATGCATCCAGTATATGATAGCATATACTGGAACTTTGCATATAATTGACACCCCATAAATGTGTTAATCAATAGGTTTTCTAATCACTTCTGATTGTCCATATCAAATATATTTTATGTAATATGAAAAGTAGGGTTATTAATAAACTCTGAAGTCAAAGTACTTTAAAAACAAAAATTCTTAATAGCTACGGCTAGAATACATAATTTTATCTACTCCACAGAGATTCCAAAAGAGGTGCCATCATGTCTCAGTCAGAAATATTTGCCACTACCACAAGTTAAATCAGTCAGCAAAAACCACAACCACAATAGATTTAATATTGAATACATGATTTTGTACCCCTACTATACCTTACAACTGATATGCAAGAGTTAATAATTTATACCATACTTCATAACAATAGGTGCTGCTCAGTAACTCAAGATTAATACATGTGCACTGCTGGTAGGAATGTAAATGGTACAACTGTGTGGAAAACACTATGATGTTCCTCAAAAAATTAAGCATAGAATTACCATATGACCCAGCAATTTCCCTTCTGGGTATGTACCCAAAAATTGAAAGCAGAAGTCAAACACATATTTGTACACCAATGTTCAGAGCAGTATTAGTCACAACAGTCAAAAAGTAGATAAATGGATAAACAGAATGTGGCAGATACATACCATGGAATATTATTCAGCCTTAAAAAAATTTTTGACACATGCTACAACATATATGAACCTTGAAGACATGATGCTTAATGAAATAAGCCAGATACAAAAGAACAAATGGTATATGACTCCACTTCTATAGGGTAGCTAGAGTGGTAAGTTCATGGAGACAGTAGAATGGTGGTTGTCAGGAGCCAAGGGCATGGGGAATGGGGAATTATTAATTAATGGGTACAAAGCTTCAGTTTGGAAAAAGAAATTCTGAGGCTGATTGGTGGTGATGGTTGTGTAACAATGTGAATGTACTTAATGCCACTGAACTATGAAATGGTTAAAACGACCATTTTTATGTTATGTGTATTTTACTACAAAATAAGCATTTTTGAAAAATACAAGAATATAGTGTATGCTATATTAAAAAAAAAGATGAATATAGGTGAAGTCCACAATTCCTGATTCTTACTCTTGGCACTT